ACTAACATGCCTAAATCTAGTGCTGATGCCCCAACTAAAGAAGTGCCCAAGGTTACTAATGCCATGAGACATCTAGGTTTCAAACACTGGTGTTAGTGATTTGTTTCTGAAGACAGACCACAAGCTCTCCTAGAGAACTACCTGCTGATGCTGGATCACTGATCTGCACGTTTGTCCTATGGGCAGTCAGCTGCACAATGACATCCCTGAACTTCCAATGTAGCTGCTTCTGGGATCACACTACTTTGGCACTCCAGGTCTGTTGCAGTTGAACAGGGCCCTCTGACGCCCCATCTCCAGCGCTTTAGTCCTGGTATGCATTCTGTTGCAGTGCCAGGAAAACTCTGCACTTTCATCCTCCATGCAGGGACCCCATCTCCAGTGCTTTAGTCCTGGTATGCATTCTCTAGCAGTGCCAGGAAAACTCTGCACTTTCATCCTCCATGCAGGGGTAACAGTAAGTTTGTTTTTCCTACAGATAGCCCCAAAGTTCTCATACTCTTTGACAGGTACCTAAACCTGGGCAATCAGGTAGTAACACTTGTAGTAGGAAAGCACTTGAGAATCCCAGTTTACAATAGGAGTACAAGAATACAATACATAAGCATTGCTGACACCAACATTATGCAACATTGCATGGAATTAAATCCAGCTATGCTGTTTGTTAAGCCAAAAGGCCACAAATATCCATGAGTTTTTTTTAAATATGCTGCTTGAAAATGAAATACAGATCGAAACCCTGATATCCTGAGCTCATCTGACATTTCTGTATCTAGACTTTGGTCCACAGGCAGGTTTCTCAACAGTGTAATTGGATAATAACCATCTCCAAGTAGTGCCTGTGCCTCCATAAAGTAGATAAGGGAACCATTTCTTATTGATTCTACTTATGCCAGAGCAGCATATCTAGGGTCACTCAAGAAACAGAAAGTGCTCATTAGAAAATCCCTCTCACCTCTCCTTACCATCTACAGTATGCTTCCAAAAGGACAGGGATGTTCACCTTGTTCTCTAGCCAGGACACATGGACTTTGTATGAAATTAAGCTTCCGTATGACCCTAGAGTTTAAAAAAAACCCTATCTATTCCTCAAGGCTCCTCCCTTGATCAAGATGAGAGACTCACCGGTAGTTAGCTAAAAATCCATATACCCAAGCAGGATTTCTTCAGAGTTGGTCACACTCTTGCACTTTGGAATTAGTAGGGGAGGTCTAGCTATTTCAAAAGCCAGGAAGAGCACAGGCCACATTCCATTCCCTAGTTAGACTCCTTTGGAGTGCTCTGTATTTGAGGAGAGAATGTATTAGACTCTTGTATTGCAGGTGGGCTGTTTGCTGGCCTACATGGGAGAAGCCAAGTAGTATTTCATCACCACTCTCAATGGTTCCTCAGGGAACTCCCTTAACTCTGTAGAGCCTGTGGTGAGGCACATACAGTCCAGGTTAGCTCTGGCTTCTACTGTCAGATGAATGAATTCCAACGAACTTGTCTTACCTAAGGCATCTCTTAACTTGACGTTTGAAGAAGAGAAATTTGCTTTGTCCTGCATGAGTGTGTCATGGGCTGAGTTTCCTAAGGGGCAAAGTGGGCTAGCAGAAGCTTGCAGTGTGATCCAGTCTAGTCTCAGTTGCTTCACAGTAAGGTCAGGTGGCTGATCTGGTGATGATCAGCATCTGTTTTAGTTAGTGACTGCTTCTGACCTTTGCCTTGGGTGCTGTCCTGTGCAGTGTGCAGATAAAGATCCACATTTGATTTCTTAGGTCTCTTGTTTCCTTCTGTTTGGAGTAGAGGGTTGTGTCAGGATGAAATGTGTGAAGAAAAAGTTGTCTGATTTGTCACGTGCCATGGAGAAGACGTGTCTGCTGGATGCCTTTTGGAACCATAATTTGGTTAAATCCCAGGAATAAATGGAGCTGGAACAGTCTCGGGAGCATCGTGAGTGGGTGATAAGCATGGTGCAGACCCACCAACTGGGGGTGGGTTTCCCCAGGACCCAGAGATTCAAAAGAGCACGGGGCTTCTAGCTGTCGCTAGTGTGGAAGCAGCAGAGCTCTTGGCATTTGAATTCACTGCTAAAGCCCCACATAGAGCAGTGCTAAGGGCTGCCTAGGGAGAGGGGCCACAGCTCACTCCGGCCACTGCTGATGACAGGCTACCCTGGCCCCACAAGCATGGAGCCAGGGCCCCCACCATCTTGCCCAGAACCCAGAAAGTGTGTTGCCCACGCCCCAGCATGGTTTCACAACAATGTAATAGCAAGAGTCATTTCAAGCCCAAAGGACAGAGAGGTGTCAATAGCATCAGACATCTGCTTCCCTGAAGTAAGCTGCTTGCTGTACTTGATAGCTCTGTGGCGCTTACACTCTTTGGAAGAAGGCGCTTACTACTGAGTAGTGTCAGTCGTCATCGGCCTCCTGACCAGGAAATGGTGGCAATGACAGGAGGATCAAGTTGCAGCTCAGGGCTCTTCCCCTGTAAGAGATGGATCCCTCTGGGAGCCACCTGGCCAGGGATGGTTTCCTGGTAGTGCAGAGGGGTTGGAGTCGGAGTCACAGCCTCACCAACCCCCTGGCCAGGGATTGTTTCCTGGTAGCGCAGAGGGGTTGGAGTCGGAGTCACAGCCTCACTTCCAAATTGCATGAAGTGTCACTTTCTTCATTTCTCTTTTGCAAACCTTCATGAGTAAATGGAAGTCACGGAGTTCTAGGAAAGACTGGGCATGTGCTGCACCACCTGGAGAGGATTCTCACTGCTGCTGCATCCAGGAAAGACTGGGCATGTGCTGGAGAGGATTCTCACTGCTGCTGCATCCTTATGGGGTGAGAAAGGAGATGTGGAGAAGGGACCTGACCCCTTAAAGGGTGTTCAGGCTCCACTCTGCTTCCACTGACACTGGTGGAGTACAAGGCTAGAGGATTTTCACTACTGTGTCCAGGAGGAGTCCATCAGAAAAGTGAGTCAACATGTTAACAGAACCATCAAGTTTGGCACACTGTGCTTACTGAAGAGCCACTAGATCTTTTTGTCCCTCTCCTTCCACCTTTTTCCTCCTCTTCCTGCCCACAACCCTCAGTTTTTCTATCACATCCTATTTCTACTGGGAACACTAACAGGAATTGTTAGCCTAGAATGTTTTAAGGTGCTTAAATAGTAACACGATTTTCCAAATCCTAAATTTAGTTTCACAAGTTCTCTTCTCTCTGGCAAAGAACTTATCTGACAGATACGAAAAGCCCCGGGATTAGCCATGTCTGAACTAACTAGAAATCTACAGTACTTCTCTTCTGATTCCATTCATTTCAAGGTTAATCAATATTTTTTTAACTAGGGGGAAAAAAAAAAAAAAAAAAAAAAAAAAAAGAAGGATGGATGACATCAAGTTGACATAGCTCTTAAAAGATCTAAACAATCCTCCTCCTGAAACTCATGTGCTGGGCTAGTCTTTTCCCCATTGCTTACCCCTCTCCCCCAATGATAAATGAAGTTTAATTCTTGCTCCTAGCCTTTTATAATTTATTTGGTGTTTTCATTTTATTCCATGGACTCCAAAAATTCCATGCATCACTGACTAATTTACATTTCAATACAAGCACTCTTAGATTCATACCATGTAACAGAGAATTTTTACATTCACACTTCATGTGAGAAAGTGCATTTCTTAACCTCCAGTAAATTTACACCATTCTGAGGCCACTTCATGTGAGACAGTGCATTTCTTAACCTCCAGTAAATTTACACCATTCTGCTAGGACAAAGGGCAAACTGTCCACATTTTAAGCCTGGAGATTAAAAAAGCATCAGCATTAAAAATTAATGAAAATGTATTATTTATCCAAAACCACAAGTCACTGAGAAAAGCTAAAGAATGAAAGCTAATTTCCTTGGGAGAAGGGACTCATGTAGCCACTTGAGAAACTAGTGTATCACTTTAGGTTCCTATCTGGAAAGAGGTCTGCCTTTAATATAGCCACATGTGAGCTCCACCACTTGTCAGAGCTCACATTGTAAGTGTCCTTAACATCTCAGAGAGAAGATTTCACGGCACTGAGTAGAGCTTCTGTAGAACAGCACCAATATGCTCGACCAGACTGGAGTTCTATCACTTCAATCAATCTGTGAACCTTTGTAATCTCTTGGTGACCAGATAGCACCATCTATAAGCATAATAAATGGAGCTTCTACTATGTTGTCAGTCAGTCCGTCCTCCAGTCCCAGACTTAGTGGAGTTAGAAATGTCATGGAGGACACTTATTCAGCTTCTTAAGACATACAGCACTGATGAGCCATCCCTTCTAGTGCGTATGCGCACACACCCACCACACAAAAAAGTTCCAGAAGCTACATTCAGGCCTTCTTGGCTAAAAACTGCCATCATACATGCTCTAAGTTAAGGAATGGAGCCTCATGGCTCCAAAGGGATAGGAATATCTCAGCATTAACAACTTACCAACAGAAGTAAACATTTTGCTTTAAAACAGAGAGATTAGGTGACATCTTTTATTGAATATGTCCCTTTGCCTCGGATGAATTTTACTTAACATGAGTAAGCATATTAACAGCATGTTTCTTCTGCAACGACGCAAACACACTGTTCAGAACAGGCAAGATGGATTTTAAAGGTGTACAATAGAGAACACTTCTAAAAGCTTCCTGATAAATCTTGTTTAGAATCACATTTTCAGGCATACAAAGCTGCTACTTGCTGTGGATTTGTGTAGGTGCAAGCTCTCCAAAACAAACAAAGCTAAACATTACATACCTGAATATTCAGAGAGAAAAAGCAACTCTGTAGTTGCAAGAAAACTGTAGCATGTAAGAATCACTCCTATCATTCAACTTGCATCATCTTCTGCAGAATCAGTTTGCTCTATCACCACAATACAATATTTAAATTTAAAAGCATTTAAAATATGCATTAATTTCCAACTTAAAATCTTAAGACACCAATCATGAAATACAAGCTCCTGTAACACAAGCCACCAAGATAACTATACTCTTACCTAGTCTGAGCTCTCCGAAGTTCCCACACCCTATCTTCTTGCCCACTCTGAAGTTGGGTCCCACCATAAGAACACCAGAAGATGTAGCGGAACTCGGTCGAGAACCATGTCCACTCCTTCCAGGCATTCCTTTTGTTGTCCGCTGTCTTTCATCCTTCTCCCTGTTTGAGTGGTCCATGATCTTAGAATATAAAATCTCTGCCAGTAAACTGGCAGAATTGGGAATATGTACTCTTCCCTTACAGTAGAAATATATATCCAAAAGTATCACTGAGTCAGGTTACTAAACAAGTCATAGAAACATCAATTTCGTTTGGCACCATCTCCAGACTCCTAATGTATCTCCACAGTGGTTGATTGTGTCCTGGAGAACTCAATAAAGACAGGCCTTTTAGAATCTAAAAAGAAAAAGAAAAAAAAGATATTTCAAAAATAAAATCAATTTATATTTCACATCAAGAAAATACCAGCTGCTAACCAAACAGACAACTTCCAAGATGGACTATCTAGGGTTCATACAAATTAACAGCTTGTCACCTTCAGTAATTTTCTACATTGAATCTCAAGTACAACATTCAATATTGGGATGTTGGGCAGATACTGCTAAGCAACGCTGCTAAAATATAGTACTAAAACTAAGCTAATGCTAGTTTGCTATTACTAACAAAGCCCAAAAGTTCATTATCAAAAGGAAAGACAAATGAATACAACAGCCCATCTCTACAGCAATGTTGTTCGTACATTTCTATTGAATTTCTTTACAAAGACAAGAGGAAAGACAAATGAATACAATAGCCCATCTCTACAGCAATGTTGTTCATACATTTCTATTGAATTTCTTTACAAAGTAAGGTGTAGAGATATTAAGTGTATTTAGCAATGCTCATTTATGAAGTGCTTTGAGACCCTCAGATAAAAGGAGCTGAATAAAACCAAGATGCTTATAAGTTACATGTATACACCACAGGGTTAAAAAAAAGAAATCAAACCTTCTCCATTTAAACACCAACAAAATACAACAGAACTCAGCAAAATCACACAAGTGCTTGGGACTCCCCATTAATGACTAAAATTTGAACATCAGTACGGGTAGCTCAGCTTTAAATGATTTCGACACAATACAGTGTGGCAATGGCTCTGGGGGATGGGGTACACGGCTCTCATCACAGCGGTTGGGAGAAGTGCATCCTGCCCCATCTCTCAGCCAATCAGCACCGGGCAGGTGCGGGTGTCCTCCGAGCTGCGGAAGAGCACTTTCCTGCGTGGCAGGAGGGCCATCAGGAGTCGCTCTGTGCAGCCCTCCCACCACACAGGGAAGCGCTCTCCCATGGCTAGGAGACTGCTGCGCAGCGAACCACTCTTCTGTGGCCAGGAGGAGACCACGCCCCTGCCCAGCGCTGACTGGCTGAGAGGCAGAGCAGGACATGCCTCTCCCAACAGCTGTGGCGGGAGGGGAAGTACTGGGAGTTGTGCCCCAAGCCCCCAGAGCTGCTGCCACGTGGGCAGCAGCACAGGGCTAGGTGAGGGGGGCAGAACAGCACTGGGGGCCCCAGAGGCACCGCTAGTGCTGGGGGACACTGGAGGCTGAGCTCATAGTGGGGTGAGTTATGGGGCATGGCTGGCACTGGGGGGCTCTGAGGATGGTGCTAATATTGGGGGCTGGCACTAGGGGAAGTTGGGGGTAAGGTTGGATGCAATAGGGCTCTGGAAACAGGAGACCAGTACTGGGGTCTGGTGGTGTGTGGGAGGCAGGGACTGGCACCGAGGCATTTGGGATGGGGGGGGGAATGCACTGGGTGGCTCTGAAGGATGGAGGCTGGCACTGGGTGGGGTTGAGTACAGGGGACTCTGGGGTCAGTGGCTGGCACTGGGAGGCAGGGGAGGGCTTTGAAGGCTGGGATTTTAGCAGACCAGCCACATTTTCTTTGCATGTTTGTGTATTCCTCATTAGCATGCTGAATATGCAAATGAAATACCGGTCTGCCAAAAGTTTGCTAGTCCCTGGTATCAAAAAGATTGTACATCTCTTGTCAGTGGTTCCCAATGACAATAACTGCTATTTCCAATTAAGAATGTAAGCGAGTAGTCAAATAGTCAACTACTCGAAAAGTCTAAGCTTATCAAGTAGTCAGTTCAACTACTCGCTCCCCCTGCCTTGCTACCTCTGTATAAATACCGGTCTGCCAAAAGTTTGCTAGTCCCTGGTATCAAAAAGATTGTACATCTCTTGTCAGTGGTTCCCAATGACAATAACTGCTATTTCCAATTAAGAATGTAAGCGAGTAGTCAAATAGTCAACTACTCGAAAAGTCTAAGCTTATCAAGTAGTCAGTTCAACTACTCGCTCCCCCTGCCTTGCTACCTCTGTATCAGAAGCAGAAAGTGACTGCTGAAGATCTGGCTCTGTAGGACCTACCCCTGCTGCGCCTCTGCAGTTTAAATGCAGTAGGAGCCAAGCTGCCTGCACGCTTGTCTCCTACTACACTTAAACTGCAGAGCCTTATCGACTAATCATGTAGTCAATACAATTTGTATCAACTACACGATTATTCACTTACCATGTTCTAACATCCTTATGTCCAATATCAAGAACCTGAAAAGGAGATTAGTTCTTTGGATCTACAGGAGAGCACATTTTCATTTCTGCTGCAATGGGGGATGAGACATTTTATTCATGAATAATAAATGCACACCATTTTTAGAGTTTATGAAAAGGATCATCAGAATCCAGCAATTCTCAACAACTCCACTGCACTGAGACCCCATCTGACAGTAAATATTGCTTCATGACCCCATGCGGGGAAATCAAAGCCTGCCATCCTGAGGTCAAACCCAGAGCCAGAGTTCAACCACCCACTATACTGAGGAACCAAAACCAAAGCATAAGCTAGTTCAGCTCTGAAACAGTCTTCCAAGGAGGATTATAAAGTCCCCATTTTTAGACACCTTTAACAACAAACTGATTGACACATTAGATGGTTAGAAGTAGTCTAAGTTTACTTGGATCTGCCAGAGCATGAGGGTCCACCTGCCCACCACGGCCAGGCTGGAGCAGCCCTCTGCCCCCTGCATCTGGGCTGTGCCCTCTCTAGCCAGGCTGTAGCATCCATTGCCCACAGTGGGATCTATCCCTGCCAGTTAACCCTGATCAGGATGCATTACCTGCTAAGTGTGATGCTTACAAGGGATGTTAAACTGGCTAACTGACTGAGGGTACATCTAGACTACATGCCTCTGTCGCCAGAGGCACGTAGATTAGGCTACCAGACATAGGAAAATGAAGCGGCGATTTAAATAATCGCCGCTTCATTTAAATTTACATGGCTGCCGCGCTGAGCCGACAAACAGCTGATCAGCTGTGACGCGCGGGTGGCGACATCAAAGGTATTTGTCGATCACTCAAGTATGCCTCCTGGGATGAGGTTTACCTGGGTGGTTGACAAATACCTTCGATGTCGTGGCAGCCATATAAATTTAAATGAAGCGGCGATTATTTAAATCGCCGCTTCATTTTCCTATGTCTGGTAGCCTAATCTACGTGCCTCTGGCGACAGAGGCATGTAGTCTAGACGTACCCTAAGTAGGATCCTGGGCAGGAGCTCACTCCAGCCTGGCTAGAGCAGCAACCCCAGCTGCCAGCCACTTGGGGCTGGTTGTTGGGGCGGGCTGCTGGCTCTGCATGAGGGCTGGAGCAGTCCTCTAGTGGCAGAAGGCCATGAGCAGGGGACTGTTCCAGAGAAACCAGTTACCCATTCGCATCCCTAATTTAGACTGGGAGTGTCTGAATCTTGCAATATGCATTTTGGTTCCGCAGAATAAGTCAGTGTTTTCTCAGGGACAGAGTGGGTGAGGTGATGTATTTTACTGGAACAACTTCTGTTGGTAAAAAGACAAGCTTTTGAGCCACATAGAGGTCATCAGGCCTGGGAATTTTAGGCCTTATCTACACTACCAAGTTGTGTCACCAAAAAACTGCCTTTTGGCAACAAAACAGTGAGAGCATACACACAACACACTACCCCTCTGATACTTAACACACTACTGCGACTTCTGTAGTGAAAAACACCCAGTTTTGACAACAAAAAGCTTCCACCCATAAGAGACTTTTCCTTTCCCTTTATTGTCAATGAACATCCAGTGTAGACACCACGAGGCATTTTTTCCTTTTGTTGGCCTCCAGGAAGTGTCCTACAATCCTCATGCTGTTGCTCGGGTGGTCACCGGTTTGCACTCTGCTGCCCTGCAGCCAGGTAAATGAGAACCAGTCCCTCACCCTGGCAAGCGCCCAAGAATTTTAAATTCCCTTCCCTGCTTGGTGATAGCTCAGCATGGTGACCATGGCTTGCTATTGCACCAAAGGCTCTCCCACCTAGACTACTATGGAACCGTTGAATCTAATCAGTATATGGGGAGAACAGTCTGTTCAGTCCCAGCTGTGAGTGACCTGTAGGAATTGGGACACATATGGGCAAATTTCACAAGGCTTGTGCAAAAAAGGGTATGATGGGCACATTGCAGTGCAAAATGAAGGTAAGGGAGGGAGGCAGGCGTGCCTGAAGGGCTGGGACAAAGCAGTCCCTAACAGGACATTTTGCAGTCTCAAGATGTGAGAACACGAAATGGAGCCCGGCACAACACCTTATGACAAACGGTGTTGCCAGGCACTGTGGGATATATACCCAGAGTGCATTGCTCATGCTGTTAATGATGGTGCCACCAACGTGGATACAATCTGTCAGAGGGAGAAAATGTGAACACGCTTTGGCAACTTTGCTTTTGTCCAGTTTCTAGTGTCAATATTAGTTTCATCAACAAAGCTTTGTACCGTAGACAAGCTCTTCGAGTGTCACAGCTAAATACAAGGTGGAACAGATTGTTTAACAAAGTAGTTAACACATTTCAAGGGAACATTAAAAGGTGAGGTGGCTCATTAACACCACTCTACTGCCAAAGGAGAAAGAGGACAGGCAGCTGAGGGTGTTATGAATGGGTTAGAGATGAGGCTACATTTCAGTCATGGGCATTTTTAGTAAAAGTCATGGGCAGTAAACAAAAATTTACAGCCTGGGACTTGTCCATGACTTGCTACACAAGCTAGACTAAAGTTTGTGAGGGCAGGGTGCTACTTGGAGGACATGGCCCAAGGAGTGCCAGGAGTGCTTGGGAAGGGGTGTATCTTGGGGAGTACTATACAAGTGTTCAGGGAGGGCAGGTTCCCTACCCAGGCACCTAGAAAACGGAGACTCCAGCTCAGAGTGCCACGTGCTGCCTCCGCTCTGCCCCAGGGCCTGTCCCACCTCCTTGGGTAGTGTAGTAATTTCGGTTGTCAGAAGAGGTTCGTGGCGCAATGAACTTGGAGAACTACTTTCAGGTGTGATCAGATGTAGTGCTCATTTCC